CTGATTGGCAAGTCCTAGGCTCCTAGGTGGTTTAACCCACAGCGCCACCCGCGTCCCCATGGGTTGTTTAGGAAACTTATAAAAAGGGGAGCGATCCTTTGTTCGGGGCCTCTTCCTGCTTCTTCCATGTTGTGGATGAGGATTAAGTCTACTGGCTGCTGTTTGGCTCCTATATTCTTGGCTAGTGTCTTTGTTTGGCAATACCAGTGACCCCAAGGATTTTCCTATAATTCCCCAAAACACCTTTAGCTTAATGGGGCTCAATATTCGAGTAGAAAGTGACCTTGGAGGTTAGCTATTGGACACCCCCCCACACACCCCCACATCAAAATGCAGGACCGGGAACGTAGAACCACTTTGCAACTACAAATCTGGTGTGACGCTCAGGTCACAAATCCAAAAGTTTCTTTTAGCATTCTTTACAGCTTTGCAACGGATCCTGGGCCAAGGGGTGGGGTGGAGACCTCTCAGATCTCAGTGCCCAACTATTGTTATAGTAATCAACTAATTAATTAATAACTTGATTGATTGTTAAATTTCTTGCTCAAGGCAACTCAAAGCAACTTGCAACCAGTTTTTTGCCTCAGTCTGGCCAGACCTTTGGAAGTGCAAAGTTCCAAAACAAACAAGCTAAGATCATGGCCACTGGGCCCATCACCTCCTGGCAAATAGAAGGGGAAGAAATGGAGGCAGTGAGAGATTTTACTTTCTTGGGCTCCGTGATCACTGCAGATGGTGACAGCAGCCACGAAATTAAAAGACGCCTGCTTCTTGGGAGAAAAGCAATGAAAAACCTAGACAGCATCTTAAGAAGCAGAGACCTCACCTTGCCAACAAAGGTCTGTAGAGTTAAAGCTATGGTTTTCCCAGTAGTGATGTATGGAAGTGAGAGCTGGACCATAAAGAAGGCTGATCGCCGAAGAATTGATGCTTTTGAATTCTGGTGCTGGAGGAGACTCTTGAGAGTCCCATGGACTGCAAGAAGATCAAACCTCTCCATTCTGAAGGAAATCAGCCCTGAGTGCTCACTGGAAGGACAGATCCTGAAGCTGAGGCTCCAATACTTTGGCCACCTCATGAGAAGAGAAGACTCCCTGGAAAAGACCCTGATGTTGGGAAAGATGGAGGGCACAAGGAGAAGGGGACGACAGAGGACGAGATGGTGGGACAGTGTTCATGAAGCTACCAGCATGAGTTTGACCAAACTGCGGGAGGCAGTGGAAGACAGGAGTGCCTGGCGTGCTCTGGTCCATGGGGTTATGAAGAGTCGAACACGACTAAACAACAACAAGAATAGGAATTCTAAGGTCTTATATATATAAACTAAATGTTTGTAAATGTACAAGGCAAAGCATATAAACCACTTATCTGAAATATTACAGGAGAACAGTCCTAAAACCATTTCAACACTTTCAGTGACCTCAGATATTCCTCTGCGGTTTGGATGGAAATGGAAAAAGCCTCTCCATTGTCTGTGTGCTCACAAATCCTGCCTTAAGGGCACATTTGGGTATGAATAGGGTGAGCCTGTGACCTGGACTCAGGAATTAAGTATTTATCATCACAAAAGAATGGCTAGGCTATCCAGGTAATCCATGGTTAGACAAACTAAGGCCCAGGGGTGGGATCCGGCCCAATTTTTAGGGGGGGGGGGGAATTATCCAAGCTTCAGATATATTCTTGAGGTTGCAAAACGGTTACATTGGTCACATCTTTTAAATCACAATAAAAAGAAAACATTTAAACTTCCTTCAGCATACCTTTAGATTATTTTTGCAAGGATGATCAAACTAGATAGCCGACAAATAGTTGAATGCTTATTGGAGCCCAAATAATAACAGTTAAAAACAAAACAAAATATTGTGTAAAGAAGCATGCAAATATTACATTAAAAGGTAAAGGGACCCCTGACCATTAGGTCCAGTTGTGGCCGACTCTGGGGTTGATGCACTCATCTCGCTTTATTGGCTGAAGGAGCCGGCGTTTGTCCACAGATAGCTTCCGGGTCATGTGGCTAGCATGACGAAGCCGCTTCTGGTGAACCAGAGCAGCGCACAGAAACGCCGTTTACCTTCCCGCCGGAGCAGTACCTATTTATCTCCTTGCACTTTGAGGTGCTTTCAAACTGCTAGGTTGGCAGGAGCAGGGACCGAGCAACGGGAGCTCACCCCGTTGCGGAGATTCGAACCGCCGACCTTCTGGTTGGCAAGTCCTATGCTCTGTGGTTTAACCCACAGCGCCACCCGCGTCCCCTAAATATTACATTAGTCATTGGTAATTGCCCATCTGTCAGTTTGGGTTCCTCTCAGAACTGGAAGAAGAGGAACTGAAATGAATAGATGCGTAATAACTTAGTGACCTCTGTTCTTTTCTCCACATTTCCACATCTATTTGCACTTTTTAAAAAGTTCACCCCTTGCCACTGCCACAAGTGTGGCAGATGTGGAACTGTATCTGATAACTGGATAGCGTTAATGTTATTTACTTGGACTTTGTCATTTCAACCCAAGTGCAACTATTTCATAGTTTTCATCTTATAACCACAACCCTAAGATGAAGAGTCTCATGCTTATGGACTGAAATAATAATAATAATAATAATAATAATAATAATAATAATAATAATAATAATAATTTATTTATACCCCACCCTCCCCTGCCAGAGCCAGGCCAGGGCAGTTAACACCAGTAAAATTACAGTGAAAACATAATAAGGGGGGGGGGCAATTTAAAATACATGTTTTAAATCTGTATTTAATCTGGCCACAGAGATCCATGCGACGGTCACCTCCAGGCTTGACTACTGTCACTCGCTCTACTTGGGGCTGCCCTTGAAACTGTTCCACAAAATCCAGGGGGTGCAGAATGCTGCAGCGAAGCTCCTTATGGGGTCCCTGCCATGGGAACATATCCACCCAGTGCTTTACCAGTTGCACTGGCTCCCGGTGGATTATAGGGTCAGGTTCAAGGTGCTGGTCTTGACCTTTAAAGCCCTTTGGGGGTCCTCATATTTATGGAACCACCTCTCCTGGTCTGCCCCGCAGAGAACCTTCAGGTCCATGAACTGTCAGCATCGCCCTTGAGCCAGTGCCACGAACTGGACTCATCCACTTCAGCCCAGACTGGGATAGGCGAGCTGGGTAGCACTTCCAGAGACCACCTTCTGCACAGGAACAGGTCAAAGTGCTGTGGACTCACAGCTTAGAGTTGTGAGCACTGGATTCACTCCAACAAGAAGACAGTCGTCACAAAGCAGAGTCTAGCAGAGCATAAACAACTCGGAGAGCAGCTCTGTAGAATATCTTCTTTATTCTATCTACAACTATAACACACAACTATATACAGAGCTAAATGAGGTCTAAACGAAAAATGCTGAACTGCACTGAGTGTCTGCAGCTGCTCTTAGCAGCAACCTTATCTATACACACAATCTCTCTCTAACACTCAGTCTCTCTCTTTGATGTGAGGCTGGAGTGGAATAAGTAGAGAGCAGAAACTGCCCCTCCTCTCTGGAGAATCAGCAGAGCACATCAGCAGATTCTTGGATATGGGAGGGGTGAAATCTCCTCATTTATGGGACTAGCTCTCCTGGTCTGCCCCACAGACAACCTTCAGGTCCATGAACAACCATAGTTTAGAGGTTCCAGGCCCTAAAGAAGCCAGGGCCAGGGCCAGGGCCTTTTCAGTGATGGCTCCGACCTGGTGGAATGCTCTGTCCCATGAGACCAGGGCCCTGCAGGATTTAACCTCCTTCCGTCGGGCCTGTAAGACAGAGCTATTCCAACTGGCCTTTAATTTGAATTCAGCCTGATCTTCTATTTCCCTTCTCTTCCCTCCCCCTCCCCTTTTATGAAGATTTCCCGCTCTGAGACCCCACAGCTAATTCTCCCCTAGCCTCCTCGCTGGCCCAAGTGGGACCAATTCAGCCAGCTAGCCCTGGGGATCATCTAATTGATTTTTGAATTTTATTGCTAGTCATGTTTTATACCGTATTTTATGCTGCTTTTATAATTGTCTAAAAGTGTTTTAAATTTGTTGTTTTGAACCGGGAAGGGCGAGGTATAAATAAAAATTTATTATTATTATCAAAATGCAATTTAAAATGCAGCCTCATTTATCGCTCCTGTTCAGAGTCATTTTTCAACAATGCAGAAACAAGAAAAGGTGGGATCATGGATTCATAGAGTTGAAAGGGACCTCTAGGGTCATCTAGTCCAACCCCCTGCAATGCAGGAATCTCAAACGAAAGCATCCCTGGCAGATGGCCATCCAGACTCTGCTTAACAACCTTCAAGGAAGGAGAGTCCACAACCTCCCATGGAAGACCGTTCCACCAGCAAACAGCTCTTACTTTCAGGAAATTGTTCCCGTATGTTTAGATGAAATTTCCTTTCTTGTAACTGGGAGCCATTGCACTTTGAGAGCATACTGGCAAGGATGATGATGATGATGATGATGATATATTATTTATTATTTATAACCCACCCATCTGGCTGGGTTTCCCCAGCCGCTCTGGCCAGTTCCCAACAGAATATTAAAAACACGATAAAACACCCAACATTAAAAACTTCCCTAAACAGGGCTGCCTTCAGATATCTTCTAAAAATCAGATAGTTGTTTATTTTCATGACATCTGATGAGAGGGTGTTTCACAGGGCGGGTGCCACCACCGAGAAGGCCCTCTTCCTGGTTCCCTTTAGCTTTACTTCTCGCAGGGAGGGAACCGCCAGAAGGTCCTCAGAGCTGGACCTCAGTGTCCGGGCAGAATGATGGGGGTGGAGACTCTTTCTTCCCTAGTTAACCCCAGAGAACAACTTTCAGTAGAAAGTAGAGACAAGTCTTGAAAAAGCACATGTTTCAAGGGCTTATAGAACAACCTTTGGACAATCTGGCAGGGTTTGGAAACTGGTCTCCCCGCCCTGTTGGCTCACGACGCTGGCTCTGATTCTGATGTTTGGAGAATATAATCTCTGGACTGTAGACTTTTCCTCATCTGGAGATAGGAGCCTCCAGCTGCTACCTGCTGCAGCGATGGATCTGCTGGGGAGCGCGACAATCTTCTTGGTGATCTGCCTGGTCTTCCTCTTGGTTTGGGGGATGAGACCTAAGGCGAAAAACTTGCCTCCTGGGCCAACACCCCTTCCATTCATCGGGAACCTCCTGCAGCTGAAGGTGCAGGACCTGGTTGGAAACTTCCGAGAGGTAAGGATTGGGGCTTCAGCTAAGCCGTGTCCCAGGCTCCCTGACCCACTGGGATTTTGGGCAGGCCTTGTCTCCTGGCTATCCGTTTATTTTTTATTTTTTCCAAAAAAAATATTAGTTTTCACAATATTATAAACAAACAAACACACAAAACAAACAAACATAAACCATAGCCTTATTGAAAATTACAGTTATTGACTTTGTTAAGCGACTTCCTCGCTTCCCCTTGGTTGAATTTCATTGCATGTCCTTTTAACGGTTTTCCAAATCCCAATTTTTATGAAATTTAACTTAAACATTAACATCCTTAGATCTTCACCTTATGGAATTAAACCTATTAATTCATCACTTAACATAAATAAAATCCCAAGCCCGTTAAGTATCTGCAAGCTGTTTTCAGTTAGTTTAATTTAGCAAATTTAACTAAATAATCTTTAAATTTATTCCATTCTTCCTGATACTCCTCCTCCTTCTGGTCGCGGACCAGGCAAGGATTCAGAAGGAAACATCTGGCAGCAGCTGGGGAGGCAGGCTGGGCCAGGGGGTGCCGTTTGGACGACGAGAGGAAATGGTTGCATTTTTTAAAAAATATAAAAAATATTTAACATAGTGTCATACCTCGGGATGAATACACTTCAGCTTAAATATTTTTAGGTTGCGCTCCGCGGTGACCCAGAAGTAACAGAGCACGTTACTTCCGGGTTTTGCCACTTGCGCATGCGCAGATGCTCAAAATGATGTCACGCGCATGCGCGGAAGCGGTGGAACGTGACCCGCACACGCACAGGCGCGCAGTCGCGTCTTACGTTTGCTTCAGGATGCGAACAGGGCTCCGGAACGGATCCTGTTCGCATCCAGAGGTACCACTGTAATTGTTACAAATATAAGCAAAATATTGCAAATACATACATATATATTTCAAATAAGCACATATATGAAAAAAGGAACAAAAGAGAAAAGAAGAAGAAAAAATAAAGAAGAAGGAAAGTTGGAAGAATTTCTTCCAAGTTTATTCTACAAATATCTCAATATGAAAATAATAATAAAATTTCATTGATTGGCTTCCATCGCTTTCGCTGCACTTCCTATATACATTTTAAGCAAGATTGTATCTGTCGTTCCGTATTTCCCCCATACAATCTGACACAAATATTCTAATCAATGTTTTCTAAATCTTTCATAAATCTGTTCTAAACGCAACCAATACCTTACGTTTAATCCTTGTCTACATGGTTGCGGTTTTTTGAACGGAAGAGAGCCCAGGTTGCCTCAGCCAGGTGCCCTAGGACTACAACTCCCAACTGCAATGGCCGGGGCTGGTGGGAGTTGTAGTTCGAAAACTCTGGTGCAGAGCACCAGGTTTGGGGAAGGAGCAAGCTGGGAAACAAAGAGTCTCTTTATGGGGATAAACATGTTTTCATAACCAAAAGTCTCATGATCTGCCCTGTTCATGACCCTCCTTTTTCTCTCTTTCCACACTCTGTGATTTGTTTGCATGGAGCTTATGCAACGGCAGATGTTTATAGAGCCTCTATTCCAATGTGAGGCGAACAGATGGCGCCGGGCCAATCAGTCGTCCCATATTCTCAGAGCATTTCCTCATCCCTTCTCTGAATCCAAAAAAAAAGTCAAGTTTCATTTTCAGGGGCTCCGTCCTCTCCCCCATGCTTTTCAACATCTACATGCAGCCGCTGGGAGAGATCATCAGGGGGTTTGGGCTGGGTGTTCATCAGTATGCGGATGACACCCAGCTCTACCTCTCTTTTAAATCAGAACCAGTGAAGGCAGTGAAGGTCCTGTGTGAGTGTCTGGAGGTGGTTGGAGGATGGATGGCAGCTAACAGATTGAGGTTGAATCCTGACAAGACAGAAGTACTGTTTTTGGGGGACAGGGGGCAGGTGGGTGTGGGGGGACTCCCTGGTCCTGAATGGGGTAACTGTGCCCCTGAAGGGTGCACAGCCTGGGAGTCATTTTGGACTCACAGCTGTCCATGGAGGCGCAGGTCAAGTCTGTGCCCAGGGCAGCTGTCTACCAGCTCCATCTGGTATGCAGGATGAGACCCTCCCTGCCCACAGACTGTCTCGCCAGAGTGGTGCATGCTCTAGTTATCTCTCGCTTGGACTACTGCAATGCGCTCTGTGTGGGGCTACCTTGAAGGTGACCCGGAAACTACAACTAATCCAGAATTCGGCAGCTAGACTGGTGACTGGGAGTGACCGCTGAGACCATATAAGACCGGTCTTGAAAAGACCTACACTGGCTCCCAGTACGTTTCCAAGCACAATTCAAAGTGTTGGTGCTGACCTTGAAAGCCCTAAATGGCCTCGGCCCAGTAGACCTGAAGGAGCGTCTCCACCCCCATCGTTCTGCCCGGACACTGAGGTCCAGCTCCGAGGGCCTTCTGGAGGTTGCCACCCTGCAAGAAGTGAGGTTACAGGGAACCAGACAGAGGGCCTTCTCGGTGGTGGCGCCCACTGTGTGGAACGCCCTCCCGTCAGAGGTCAAGGAAATAAACACCTATCTGACTTTCAGAAGACATCTGAAGGCAGCTCTGTTTAGGGAAGTTTTTAATGTTTGATCGTTTACTGTGTTTTTAATGTTCTGTTGGGAGCCGCCCAGGGTGGCTGGGGAAACCCAGCCAGATGGGTGGGGTAGAAATAATAAATTATTATTATTATTATTATTATTATTATTATTATTATTATTATTACACCCAAAATCTAACCCATGGCCACCATTTCCGCTAGTCTTCTGCAATCACCAGCACCCTGATGCCTGCTCCCTCTCTTGCCTGCTTTGTCTTTGCAGATGAGCAAAAAAATACGGGCCGATCTTCACCGTGTATTTCGGCTCAGACCAGGCTGTGGTTCTCTTTGGTTATGACTTGGTGAAGAAGGTCCTCGTTGATCGTGGAGATGAGTTTCTCGACCGAGGCAGCTTCCCGTCAGCAGATAAGACCAACAGAGGACTAGGTATTGCATCTCTTACATGGGGGGGGGGGCACCGTTAGCCTGGGTGGAAAAGTGGAAAGGGTCTCTAGGCCAAGGTGGGGGGGATCTCAGCCCTGAGGGCTGGATGTGGCCCTCCAGAGCTTTCTGTCTGGCCCTCGAAATGTTCCCCAGGCCACACGCCTCATCTCCGCAGGCCCCACATCTCACCGGACCAGTTTCAACAGTTTTTCCTTGCTTTTTATAAATCATATAAATAAATGGATGCTTTTGAATTATGGTGCTGGAGGAGACTCTTGAGAGTCCCATGGACTGCAAGAAGATCAAACCTCTCCATTCTGAAGGAAATCAGCCCTGAGTGCTCACTGGAAGGACAGATGCTGAAGCTGAGGCTCCAATCCTTTGGCCACCTCATGAGAAGAGAAAGACTCCCTGGAAAAGACCCTGATGCTGGGAAAGATGGAGGGCACAAGGAGAAGGGGACGGACAGAGGATGAGATGGTGGGACAGTGTTCTAGAAACTACCAGCATGAGTTTGACCAAACTGCGGGAGGCAGTGGAAGACAGAAGAGCCTGGCGTGCTCTGGTCCATGGGGTCACGAAGAGTCAGAAACAACTAAACACAGAGAAGATTAGCATGGCCCCTGCCCCCAGCGCAACTCTCAACAGTCCCAGCAAGCTGGTCTGGGTGATGCGCAGGCTGATGTGACCATAGCTGGTCTGGTGGGGAGAGCAGCCCGACACATCTTGCGGGCACCGGGTGGACCAAGGCTGACCTGACTCATGGGTCCTGTTCCAAGCATGGTTCTTCATGTGCCGGCAAGCTTCAGGGGCTCCAGTCCCTGCCCTCTCTTTCTTGCACACCCAATTGTATTGGCGGAACGCAACAACTAGGGGAGATCTCCTCAAAAAAAGCTCAAAAGTTTGGGACGATCTCCTAATGTCAGGTTTCAGGGAACCAGCTTCGACCCCCTGTGGCAGTAGATAAGCAGAACAAAGGAAAAGGTGTCTTCTTACCAGTTAAATAATCACAGCGAGAGAAGAACCTATCTCCTAGAAATGGCGGTGCTCCCAATTAAGGTTTCCACCCCCTGCTGTCCCTATTAATCTATGTCACTTCTACGTCTCGTCATCTGACCTTGTACCCTCTGTGCTTTCTGTTCTGCCACTTTCTGAGCTCTTCTCAACTTTGGTGAGCGCGGTGGAATAAGGCTTTCTAGAGTGTGGATCTGTTAACCCTCTCTCTTCCAGTGTCTCTCTCTCTCTTTTTTAAAATAATTTTTATTGAGTTTTCCACTTAAATCATATTCACATTTTGTTACATAATTCTATGACTTAATATATTGCTCTGTAAGAGCATTGACTTCCTTCATTCCCTCTTTCTGACTTCCACATAACTTTCCATATTCTTCGCATTTCTATAAAAACTTATTTACCCTTTGTCAAATTATAATATTTCACATTATTACTGTTAAATCAGTTCCTTTTATTTACAATACAAAACATTTCAATTCAAGCCCACAAACGTTTTCAAACGTTTACAATTTTTCTTTCATATCAAATATAAATTTGTTCCATTCCTTTTGAAACAGTTCATCATGCTGATTCCAGATCTTCCCTGTCAGCTTGGCCATCTCTACATACTCCATCATCTTGACCAGTGTTGGAAGTTCCTGCTGCTTCCATTTCTGAGCCAGAAGTGCCAGTGTCTCTATTTCCCAGCTTCTGGCCTTCTGAACTATGCCCCTCTGCAAACCGCTGTTCCAAATCTATACTATCCTCCTGCTCCTGGGAAAATTCACAATCCAGGGTAGGGGAGGGGGGAGACTCCCACCATTCCTCCTCAGTGCAGGCCCCCCCAGCATGGTCCCTGACGCCCAAGCTCAACAACTTAGAATCATAGAATCATAGAGTTGGAAGAGACCACAAGGGCCATTGAGTCCAACCCCCTGCCAAGCAGGAAACACCATCAGAGCACTCCTGACATATGGTTGTCAAGCCTCTGCTTAAAGACCTCCAAAGTAGGAGACTCCACCACACTCCTTGGCAGCA